GAAAATTATTTTCAAGGTTTTCCCCTCATAAAGAAGCCTCAGTAAAGGTGCCTGAAGAAGACCTCAACCAAAGACCTCAGGTAAAAATACCTGAGATTGAAGGCATAGGGCCTTCTTCTTTGACTTCATTTGCTTATGTATTTGTCTAAGGTAACAGGTGTCCCAAAACTCTTGAGCTGCTGCTAGAGCAGCCTCTGTCTCATTGCTGGTTAGGGTGTGACCAAGCAATAACATGATATTTTTCTAATCTAATTCAAAGGACTGACCCAGGCCCTGCAGAACATCTATGTACTCGTCTGGGTCATCTGAAAATTTTCCTAACTCTGCCTTGATTTGCTTTAAGTCAGAAATTGAAAAGGGAGTATGTATTTTGGTTGGGCCAAATTCTTCTCCTGCTGCCTGTAGGGGGCAGAGTTAGGGCATCCTAGTAGTCAGTTGTCTTGGCCGTTTTGGCCTTCCCCGACTCCTCTTGGGTTATAGGAGCTGAGGAGACCTGGTCAGTATCAGTGGAGGGAGGAGCCACAGGGATTCCTAAATATGGGGTAGTCCTCAGTAGGGGCCAGTAGAGCATAGGTTGTAAGCCTTACCTAGATGAGAATTATCCCTTAGAGAAAAGAAAACTTGCACATAGGAGACCTCAATCTATTTACCTTCCCTCTTACAGAACAGGTCTAATTGTAAAAGGGTGTTATAATTTATACTTCCCTTAGAAGGCCAGGTTTCTCCACTCAGCAGAAGGTATCAAGGCCACAGTGTTAGGCAAAAAAATAAAAAATAAAAAAAATGAGCCACTTCTTCAAAGTTCATGGGTCAAATTGATCCAGTTACCCAGGATAAACTTTAAGGGTGATTTTGCCTTGGAAAGAGCAGCACCCATCTGAAATTGAACATAGGGATGCCTACATCGCTGGTTATTCCTTGCAGCTGCTAGCCCTAGGGCCTCCCCTAGTTATAGCACCTTGCAGTTTCCTTGCACCCTAGATGTGTGATCATCTTCTGGGTCCCCCATGTGCTGGGTTTAATCACACTTACTGGTGTCATGAGCATACCCTCACTATCTAATGTCCTTTTTGGCCACCATAAGGACGTGGGGACTGCTGGGCTTAGTGGCCCTGTACAGGCGCATACTTGAAGAACTAGGCCAGTGAGGCTTGGGCAATGGGTGCCAATATTCCCTAGCAAGAGTTCAATTACCATAGGCCTGACCCCAAAACTGCCCTAGGAGGATAAACTCCTTGATAAGGGCCTTTAAGCACAATCTTAAAGAAGGTAATGGCTGGCCACATGGCCAAGGCCAGAACAATGCCCTCAGGACCTGGGCCTTCTCCCCCACCTTACTCTCCATTATAGGAATATGCCATAGGGTTGTGGGGCTTGTAATTAACTATTTGAGCCTTGGATAAGGTCTGACTATGGTACTCTAGATGGAGAAGTTCTGCCATACAGAGAGCTAATCCTCGGCAAGACAAATCTTACATTATCAGATTCTGGCACCATTCAGTTGGATTGGGAAATTACAGGTGACAAAAAAATAGATCTGGCATTGTTAGGACATAAGCTAGCACAGTGGACTAAGGGAACTGACCCTGTGTATTTCTACTGTAGGAGGTTTTCATAGGCATCAGTCTGAGGGCACTGCAGGCAAGGGTCCTGGACTGCCACCCCAAGAGCCTCAAAGTCCTAGCAAGAAGGGTAATAACTTCATGTGTAGAAAATATCTAAGAGGAAAGAGCCAGGAAGAAGTTTGCCTTACAGATATCTGGACCCAGGAGGTTGGGGTCTGAAAGGCTGGGCATGGCTCTCTTAGGTGGCTTTTTCTTAGGAAGTCTAAGTGGGGTCACAACCTCAACTGAACTTAACCCGGAGTTTGGGACCACTGCCCTTTCCTCCTGCCAGCCCTCAGCTTGGCCCAGAGAAAGAACAGCAAGAAAGGGAAGCTGGTTCAGGGCTAGCCAATGCTCCCAGTTCCAAAGAGCTGGGAGTTGTTGAAGAGTTCGTTACCAGAAAACCTAAAACCCGTGTTTTTAGTCCAGCAGCAGTGCTTATCACACTTTGATGGCCAATAGGTACCCAGTTTTTACCTCCTTAACAAATTTAAAAGAAGGGAAAGGACAGATTAGTGAGCAAAAGGGGTCCAATATCACTCACCGCTCTGAAGTCCGATGTCTCCTGGCTGGCTTGCAAAAAGATGTAACCAGGGGAGCGTATCTAGCTCCCAGTTCCGTAGAGGTTCTTGGCCTCTCTAACCCCAAAGAATGGGGAAAGGGGACCCGGAGGCACAGTGAGTTTGCCGTTTGAATAAATGTCATGGACCCAAAGAGTTTTGTGGAAAAGCAATTTATTAGACAGAGAGAGAGAGAGAGAAAAGAGAGAGAAGACAGTTCCACGCTGTTGTGGGAGGGGACCCAGAGAAGGAATCCATATAGGTAGGAGCAGCTGAAGTTTTAACCCTTGAGTTATTCCCTTCCTCCTGAAACTAGTGCCCAGCTGGCAGAACTAGTAGCCCTCACTTGAGCTCTAACATTAGGAAAAGGAAAGAATGAACATATACACAGATTCCAAACATGCTTACCTGGTTCTGCATGCCCATGCTGCCATATGGAAAGAAAGAGAGTTCCTGACCTTGGCGGGAACTCTCATTAAATGTCATAAGGAAATTTTAGACTTATTACAAGCTGTCCAAGAACCCAAAGAGGTAGCAGTCTTACACTGCCAAGATCACCAGAAAGGAGATGAGAAGGAAGTGGAGGGCAATCCCAAGCTGGCCTAGAGGCAAAAAGGGCAGCTAGATATGAATTTATAGAAGGACCTTTAATATGGGAAAACCGTCTCCAGGGAACTAGACCTCAATACTCATCGGAAGAGGTAGAGTGGGCAAACTCCCAGGGACATAATCTTCTTCCTTCAGGATGGCTAGCTACTAAGGAGGGAAAGTAACTTCTACCTGCTGCCAGCCAGTGGAAAGTACTTAAAACCCTACATCAAACCTTCCATATGGGTAAAGAGAATACATATCGAATGGCCAAATCTATATTTACAGGAAAAGGTGTCTTCAAGAGTGTCCAACAAATAGTCAAAAGATGTGAAATATGCCAGAAAAATAATTCTTTGTCACGTTGCAAAGTTCTTCCTGGGGAACAGCAAACCAGTCATTACCCAGATGAGGACTGACAAATGGACTTAACCCATATGCCTAAGTCTCAGGGATATCAATATCTGTTAGTATGTGTAGATACCTACACAAACTGGGTTGAGGCCTTCCCCTGTAGAACAGAAAATGCTCAAGAAGAAGAGTCCTGATTAATGAAATAATCCTTAGATTCGAACTCCCTTGCTGTCTTCAAAGCGATAACGGCCCTGCCTTCAAAGCTGCAGTGACCCAAGGAACTGCCAAAGCATCAGGAATACAGTATCATCTCCACTGTGCTTGGAGACCTCGGTCCTCAGGGAAAGTGGAAGAAAATGTACGAAATTCTTAACAGACACTTAAAGAAACTGGCATAGGAAACTCACCTTCCGTGACCTTCTCTATTACCAATATCACTATCAAGAGCTTGAAACTCTCCTCAGAATACAGGACTCAGCCCTTATGAGATGCTTTATGGATGGCCCTTTCTTAGTTATGATCTCATATCAGACAAGGAAACAGCAGATCTAATAAAAAATATAACCTCCTTGGCTAAGTACCAGCAAGCTCATAGGACCTTACTAGAAGGACACCCTAGGGGAAAAGGGAAAGAGTTGCTCTGCCCTGGAGACTTAGTGCTTGTTAAGTGTCTCCCCTCAGACTCTTCCTCTCTAGGTTCATCTTGGGAAGGACGATTTTCGGTTATTCTGTCTACCCCAAGGGCAGTTAAGGTGGTGGGAATTAACTCATGAATTCATCATACTTGATCAAAGCCTTGGATGCCTCCTGAAGAAAATCATAGGCCCTCCACTCCACAGCCTGAAGTTCTAGGAGACGACCTTTCTTTACACCTGCGAGCCTTTAGAGGATCTACCTTTGTTCTTCTGACGAGATCCCCAGGAAAGTAACTACTCATGAGTAACTTACATCCTGGCATTCACAGGACTATCACTCTCGACTTTACTATTTGCAACTGGACTCTATGCAGTCGCCCCTACAGCTTGGCTTACATCTCATAAACTCTCCTTATCCGTGGCTTACTATCTAACTACACTTCTAATAGCTCTTCTCTTCTCCCTCTGCCATATGGGTATTATAGGTCCCTTGGTCACCAATCTACAAATTCCATCTATCTCAAATTTCACTTGTATGAATTCTACTAACAACTCAAATGCTTCCCTATGCCAAAGCTGGGTTGCCTTATCCCCAGGCCTCAACTGCCTAGTGCCAGGCTTATTCTTTGTTTGTGGCACCTCAGCTTATTGCTGCCTGAACAATACCCTTGGGGCAATATGCCTCTTCTCCTTTCTAGTGCCCCCCATGACGATTTACACTGACTGTCAAGTGCAGAGTCTTCTCTTGCCAAGGCCACGCCATACTTGAATCCCAATTATTCCTTTCATAGTGGAGGGGCCAGAGTAATAGGAGGACTTGGAACTGGTATTGGAGGAATTACTACCTCTCCTCAGTCTTACTGTAAGCTATCTCAGGATTTAAATAATAACACAGAAAAGGTTGCCAATTCTCTTGTAACTCTGCAGAAGCAGCCTAACTCTTAAGCTGCTGTGGCTCTTCAAAATAGAAGGGCCCAGGATCTGCTAAGAGCAGAGAAAGGACGAACCTGTCTCTTTCTAGGAGAAGAATGCTGCTACTTTGTAAACCAGTCGGATATTGTCTTCAACCAAGTTAAAGAACTCAGGAACTAATCAAACACAGGGCTAAAAACCTTCAAGAAACTGGATCGTGGAACTTGTTTAACATCTGACTGTCCTGGCTCTACCCTCTTCTAGACCCATTTATAACCATTTTATTATTGCTGGCCGTTGGGCCTCTCACCTTTAACCTTCTTGTCAAATTTGTTTCTTCTAGAATTGAGGCCATGAGGCTACAAATGCTCCTGCAAATGGAACCCCAGATGTCCTTGGCTCATGAGTTCCATCGTGGACCTCTGGATCAAACTGCACCCCTGGAAGACTCCCCTCTGGAGGAACCTTAACTGCAGGGCGCCTTCTATGCCCCAGTTCAGCAGGTAGTAGTTGTAAGATTTATTGCTGAGGTAAAATGAGGAAACTGAGGCAAGTATAAAAAAGTGAAAAGCTGATTTATTCAGCTCCTGGGCGAGGTTCTGTGGTCCAGGGTGGGGCCAGAGAAGTAGTGCCAGGCTGTTCAGGGCTTGGGGTTTTATGGGGAGGGCAGGCAATTGATTGGCTATTGAGGAAACAAAGAGAAGGCATTCCTATTGGCTGTTGAGGAGCAGGAAGTACATGGAGCTAAAGTAAGGAGTACATGAAACTAACTGTCACTGGTAGGTGGGCGGGACCTTGGGTAAGTGGGCCTTGATTGACTACTGGGGAAACAAAGAGAAGGCATTCCTATTGGCTGTTGAGGAGCAGGAAGTACATGGAGCTAAAGTAGGAAGTACATGAAACTAACTGTCATTGGTAGGTGGGCGGGACCTTGGGTATGCGAGCCTGGCAGAGACATATGGGGCAGGCTGCTACCAGGCAGGGTATGGTGGGGCTTCTTTGAAAATTTTTCTGCAGGGTGTTTTTAACAGCTGGCTGGAGGTTGGATGTATAATTTAGTGATGAGTGGGGGCTTGGGTATGGTATGCAGAGGCGGGTATGGGGAAGCTATGTGGCAAAGCCAGATAATGAGCCCGAGTGATGATGCAGTTATGAGGTGTAGCGAGTGATGAATGTGTCCGTTTGACTCCCAGCAAGGAGTCAAACTACCTTACAGTAGTTAAAGAGCAATTGACGCCTCTGTTCCAACAGCAGTTGGGCTTTCTTGTTCAGAGGGGGGACTGAGGGACTGTGTCATAGAAGCTTATCTGCCTGGGTCTGTGATGGTTTCAGTACCTCCTCCATGCTTTCATCTGGGAACCAGAGGGGTTTCTAATGTAAAGTTCTTTGTCTGACTTTCACGTGCACAGGCCAGGGAGGGAAAGCCAGGTGAGGCTCCTTTGTCTCAAAGCCTGCCAAAAGCTCTGGGAGAAGAGGACTCTGTAACTCAGGATTGTGGACCAAGTAGCCAATCTGGTATCAAAAGTCAAAAGTCAATCACTCCAGAGGAAGTTTGAAAAAGCTCCTCTCATTGGATGAGAACATGAATGGGGAGGGAGTAACTCAAGGGTTAAAACTCCTGCTGCTCCTACTCTGGGTTCTCTTTCATGACAGCATGGGAGATCTCTCTCTCTCTCTCTCTCTCTCTCTCTCTCTCTCTCTCTCTCTCTCTCTCTCTCTCTCTCTCTCTCTAATAAATCACTTTTCCGCAAAACTCTCTAGGTCCACAATATTTATTCAAACGGCAAACTCATCGTGCCTCCGGGTCCCCTTTCCCCATTCTTTGGGGTTAGAGAGGACTAGAACCTCTTTGGAACTGGGAGCTGGATATGCTCCCCTGGTTAAATTCAAACTATAACACCTCTATAGATAATGTAGCTTTTTCACTGGCTTCTTTCAAGCTATTCTCTTTGTTTTTGATTTTCTACAATTTGGATATGATATGTGTAAGTAGGGATTATTCTGCTGGTTGTACCCTGATTTTTCTAGATTTGTGATTTGGTGTCTGTGAGAAATTCAGTAATTTTGAAAAATCCTTGACCATTATTACTTCAAATATTTCTTCTGCCTCTCTTGTCTTTTCTTTCCTTATGGTATTCCATTTACACACGTTACATTTTTTGAAATTGTCCTACAATTTTTGTATGTAAACTTCTGGGGATTAAAAGGTTTTTTTCTCTTTGCATTTTAATTTCTGAAATTTCTATTGACCTATCTTCAAGCTCACTGGTTCTTTCCTCAGCTGTGCAAAGTTTACTGCTGAGCTCATCAATCTCATTTTTTTATTTCTTTTTGTAGTGTTTTTAATTTCTAGAATTTCATTTTGATTCTCAGTGTGTCTGTATTTCAACTATATCATCCGTATGTTTATGCATGTTGCTCATTGTTCCCAACAAGCCTTTAATATATTAAACATACATATTTTAAATTCCTTGTATGATAATTTCAAATTATGTTTCAGATACAAGTCTGGTTCTGTTGCTTGCTTTGTCTCTTCAGTATGTGTTTTTTAAAGTTCCTTTAGCATGCTTTGTAATCAATCTCTTTTGAGCCAGAAATGGTGTATCAAGTGATAGAAATTGAGGTAAATAAGGCTTTAGTGTGATTGCTTGTGTTTATCTGGCTAGGAACTGTGTTTTTAAAAAAACTGTTTTTGTAGCTGTAAATGGTGGAGACAACAGATGTCTCTAGTTTCCTTGTTCTTACTCTTGTTATCTTTGGCTTCCCTGAGTACTCCTAATTAAATAAAGTCTATATTGAAGCTATTTCCACCAAAATGCACTGCTATTATATTGTGTGGGGAATGGGAAACATCTTATAATCAAATCTTAGTCTTCTGGTGAATCCATATCCCTGAGCAATAATCTTAACTAATGCTTTTTAGCTCCCCTCTCCCTTACAAAAAGATGGGAATAGAGGGGACTAGAGTTACAGAAGTGTATTTCCTCCATTGGAATATGGTTTGGGTAAAGTCTTTTCTCCTTAGAGATAAAGTTTTTGCTATGGAGAATGCTGTGGACATATTTGACGTAGAAAAGAGTAACTTTTCTTCCCTGTGCTAGGGTCATGAGAAAAATTTTATTGGCTCTTTTCTGCAGAATTGTTGGTGGGTTTCCAGAGGTATAACCCATGAAATAGCAAAGGCCCCTGCTAAGACTGCAGGCCCAAGGAATTTCTCACTCTCAACCTAATCCAAACTTGGTTACTAGTAATTTATAAAAGTTGCTATTTAATGTTTTTCTTTCTTTCTTTTTTTTTTTTTGAGATGGAGTTTCACTCTTATTACCCAGGCTGGAGTGCAATGGCACGATCTCAGCTCACCACAACCTCCGCCTCCTGGGTTCAGGCAATTCTCCTGCCTCAGCCTCCTGAGTAGCTGGGATTACAGGCACGTGCCACCATGCCCAGCTAATTTTTTGTATTTTGAGTAGAGACGGGGTTTCACCGTGTTGACCAGGATGGTCTCAATCTCTTGACCTCATGATCCACCCGCCTCGGCCTCCCAAAGTGCTGGGATTACAGGCCTGAGCCACCGCGCCCGGCCCTGTTTTTTTTCTTTTTAAACTGGTGTTTGACTCCAGCAGTTTTTTTTTTTTTTTTTTTTTTCTCCCAGATAGGCGTATCTTGGCCGTGATGCATTCACTTTATCTGTCTCTCTTAATTTTGGAGTGGTGGTTTTTTCTAATTACTCTTATTCTCTGATGGACCTAAGAAGAGTTGCTGATTTTCAGCTTTTACAGCTTTTTTGTTGTTGTAAGGACAAGAGTGATGACTTCCAAGTATTTAACATGTCAGAGCTAAAACCAGAAATCCTAGTCATTCTTTTTTCTCCTCTAATTCTGAAACTTCAGCGATCTGCTTGTTAGGCTGTTTGCCATTGTCCCACGGAACATGGAAACAATATGCTTTTATTTCACTTTTATGTTTTTATTTTTATTTTGTTCTCTACTTTGTATTTTTATTTCACTTTTTACTCTTTTTATATTAGTTTGTATATTTTCTATTGTCCTATTTTTAAGTTCACTGATTCCCTCTGTCTATCCTACTCATAGGCTTCTAAAAATATTCTTCATCTTTAATATTTTATTTTTCATTTCTCGTGTTTGTATTTGGCTTTTTTGTTATATCATTTTCGTCTCTTGGTGACATTTCCTATCTTTTCATAAACATTGCTCATATATAAGTTTAGTGTGAAAGTTATCTGAAATTAAACACATAGACAGGATTGATTATTAACTTTTGTGGATTAGAAGCACATATATTAGTAATTTATTTCTTTGTAAAAATAGTATAACCTAAGGCTTGTCTATTAATAGTTAATTTACCAGTAAGATTTTGTTTGGGTCTAATAATAATTATAAAGAAAATCAACATTAGGCTATTCTTGTAAAACTGGATAGAAACCATTTTATGAAGGCTTTGGATAGGCAAAAACTATTTGTGTATTTATGCTAACATTTTCCAGGGAAAACTTGGTCATTTCCGCTCAGTAGAGACAGATTTTTATGGCAAAAGAAATGGTGAAAATATTCTGCCTTTGGGGCAATTGTAAAAATGTTTTAATGTGCCTCAGCTGGAAATTTCTATGTTTTGCCAAATTAAATGATCATTTTCTCCCTGCAAAAAGTGTCTTTCATGTTGGAAAGGATTTCAGAATAGAGTATATTTGAAAACTTTGTAATACATTTTCGAATTTTCACTGGTTGGCATGAAAATGCTGATATTTCATCTTAGCTTTAGCTACCAATGTGAGGATTCCTTTCAATAAAAAAAAAAAGGGAAAAAATTACTCAACTTAGGTTGCAGGAATAATATACTTTAACTTGCAGTAGAAAATGGTTGGTTGAACATACACCTTTCCTGAAAAATTTTGAAGAACTTTATTTTTGTTCTTCCTCCAGTGGAATAAAAACAAAACAAAACAGTATTTCCATAATACTATTTGATGAAGATTTAATCAATCATTAGACTTCAATTATAATTTATTTTCTCTTTAACCAAATAAAAACAGATTCACTATGTATTAAGTGGGTTTACCCTTGGTTGAATTCTTTTTAAAATATTTTTCTGATTTATTCTAAAATTAACCTAATATCTTAATATCACAAAACTTATTTTTTTCTGATAGTGTTACAGTCTGATAATAGACTTTAAAGTTGTTTTCAAGGCCGGGCGTGGTGTCTTAAGCCTGTAATCCCAGCACTTTGGGAGGCTGAGGCAGGTGGATCACGAGGTCAAGAGATCAAGACCATTCTGGTCAACATGGTGAAACCCCGTCTCTACTCAAAATACAAAAAAAAATTAGCTGGGCATGGTGGCGCGTGCCTGTAATCCCAGCTACTCAGGAGGCTGAGGCAGGAGAATTGCCTGAACCCAGGAGCCGGAGGTTGCAGTGAGCCGAGATCGCGCCATTGCACTCCAGCCTGAGTAACAAGAGCGAAACTCCGTCTCAAAAAAAAAAAAGAAAGAAAGAAATACTGACTTCAATAAAGGGAATCACTGCATTGCTAGAGTCTTCATAGTATCTCTAGAGAGGCAGGTCAAAGGCAGAAATTGCATGAATTTGGGGCATCTGGTGTAAGTGGACCTTTCAGCATGAAAGTTGGTTTGTGATTAGGGAAGGCTGATGAGCTAACAATGTAGGGTAGTGGACATAGAGATGTGAGGATTATCAAGTGAATAATTCAAAGTCAGTATTGGAAAGTAAGCAGTTTCTTTTATTTTAATTCCTTTTTTTTTTTTTTTTTTTTGAGACGGAGTTTCGCTCTTGTTACCCAGGCTGGAGTGCAATGGCGCTATCTCTGCTCACCGCAAACTCCGCCTCCTGGGTTCAGGCAATTCTCCTGCCTCAGCCTCCTGAGTAGCTGGGATTACAGGCACGCACCACCATGCCCAGCTAATTTTTTGTATTTTTAGTAGAGATGGGGTTTCACCATGATGACCAGGATGGTCTCGATCTGTTGACCTCGTGATCCACCCGCCTCGGCCTCCCAAAGTGCTGGGATTGCAGGCTTGAGCCACTGTGCCCGGCTTTTAATTCCTTTTTAAAAGAAGTTTCTTTTATCCATACCAAAGAGGGTATGCAAAATACTAAGAGCTTTATTACAAATTAAATCTGAATCTCTCATAAATTGCACAATTTTTAAACAAAGGAATCTGTGGCTCACCACAAAGAGATTTTTAAAAATCTAGCAGTAAGGTAAAAATATAATTTACATTTTCACTCTTTTTTACATATTAAATATGTAATCTTTATCATGCAGTTAACATCACGCTAATCAACATTTGTGATTTTTATCAAAATATTTACAAAGATAATGAGATACCTATTCATGGCTCTTAATGAAAGAGACAAAATACCTTTTTGTTCATGTATGCCCGTGCCTTGTATTTTGATTTAATAGCAGCAAACCCATTATTCTGAAAACCTAGCTAGTTAAATTGTTTTTATGTCGTTTACTGACTATGCTTCTGGATAGAGAAGGGAAGAAGAGAACTCAAAACTGGTAAAAATAACATAGCTTCTTAGCCTTCAGGGGGAATTCTTTATTAAGATACCACTTTAAATGCACTTCTGATAAGCTTCGTTCACAAACAGGAAGTCCATATAGAAAACAGGCATGCTCATTTGCAGATTTAATTATAACACTTGTACTAATAGCATAAAGGAAACCTCCAACACTTACTTTTAAAGGTTTTATTTTAGGCTTCTTATATTAATAAGGAATGGGGACACTGATAGCTGAAATTTGTTTGTGTTTAAAGGCTGATTTGCAAAAAAACAAAGTAAATGGAAGAAAAATAATTTATGCAAGTCCTGTTAATCCAGCTGTTTTGCTTCTGGGCTTAATTGGATTTACCTAGCATTGATATTTGGTGTCAGCATGTGTTATATCATCAACACAAGGAATAGTTTCCCAATCTAAATGAGGCTATGAAGAGAAGTGAACGCCAACATTACAAACCTCAAACCAAAGACAAAATATTAATTTATTTGACTCAGTCTTAGCATAATTACTTTTTAGTCATGTGTGTTATAGACTTCCTATACCAGCTTGATGCTATCTTCTACATTTCTTCCTTTATATTTATCTGCTAAATATAGGCAGTGAAGAAAACTAGCATTCGAGAAGATGACTTTGAAAATGGTTCCACATGTCTTCTGCCTGGCCAAGTACTCCTGTTAACTGTAAAAAGGTATGTGTCATCTCTAAAGGTAGGAGTGCAACACCTGAATTTCAAAGGCAGGTATACACCATCGGTAAGCAGGTCTTCGCCATTCACTTGTAGAAAAATGAACTCATTCTTTAAAATTAAGCAATGAACCACATGTTTGAGAAATCATTTGCAAATATATTTACATATATATATTATTCTGTTTATCTGTTAGAAGTTAGTATTAAATATCTCCTGGTGAATATCAGGAATATTTATATAGAAAATATATGTAAGAAAGATTACTATTACCTAAAGAAAACTATCTTAATAGAAATGTTTATGAATATATATATGTATTTACCATGTGTTCATCATATATATGTGTGTCAATCTGAAATATATTTTATATGTAAATACATATTATTACACAACATCTATAGGCATTCTACGTATTTTGGTACATAACTCTTTCATTGTTCCTTGCCCTCTCTACCCTTTTTGAAAATGTAACTCATTATTTATGTCAATACTCCTCATTTTCCTTTACTATTGTAATTTTTTTATTGCAGTTATCACATAATATGCTAAATAATGCCTAGGTTTATTATGTCTGTTGTTTACTGAGTATTGGCTATTTTGCTAACTCTAAGATGAACTTCATGAGAGGGAGGATCTTCCTTTTATTCATGAAAACCCCCAATATTCTTTAATAGAGAATGGCGTGAATATTATAGGTGCTCAGTAACTGAATGAAAGAGTGGATATTTTATAAGCATTATGCATGGACACATGTTTATATGTATTTTTGTATGTGAGGATACACACACACTCAGATATGTGTGTATTTAGAGTTTTAAATTATAATTTTAATATGTCTTTTTTCTAGTTTTTCTTCTTTTGGTGTTTAAGCCATTCTTTTCTTCTGTGTCATTTACAGAATACATGTGCTTAGAAGTTTAATTCAAAGGGTCCAGCATAGTTGCCTAATATTCTGACTTCAGAGTTCTAAGATATATAGTATATCAAGCAAAATACTTAAAAAATAGTCTTTTTAAATTTTCTTAACTTTGAGGTTGCTATCATAGTGCTCTGAGCTTGGTTGACCAGTAATTCTTCCAAGTCAAATCAAGGGGATAGTTACTCTTGAGCTAAAAGAAACAATGTAGATTGTATCCAATAGCATCTTCCAGTGAAATGGTCACTCTAGCGCAGAAGGATCACTTGAGCCAATATAACTCAGATGAGTTTGAATTAAATGCAAACATTATCATTCTGTATCAAGGTAGGAAGTTATTACACACTATCATGTAAGTTGGCAAATCTAAAGTCCAAATGGCTCAGCCTCAAATATTTTTATCAACATTGGCAAGGAAGTTGGGCTGCCAAACTTTTGTGAGCCATGCAGGTAAATTTAACAGTGTTGTGAATTGTGTTACAAAAAAATTAAATTTCCATTTATTCAGGTCTCTGTCCAAACTGTCTCTCCTTAGTGATAAATAAATAGCATCCTCTTCATGTACTTTTATATTGCCTATTATAATTTATATTTATTTTGCCTATTTGATTTCTATCTGTTCTGTTTGCTAGAATATAAGCTCTATGAAGGCAAGAACTTTTCATGTTTTGTTCATTCCTGACTGTCCAGTGTTCAGAAAAATATTCCTTATAAAGTGTAGGTGCTCATGTCATAGTTGTTAAATCAATGAATGAATAAAAATAAGTAGTACGAGGAAGAAGATGTTCCTTCTAAAAAGCATTTGGTTGGTCCCCAAGATGCTTTTGCAAACACACTCCAAGGAAGAATTGAAGAGGCCTGGCACTGAGCTTTTCAAATAATAAATTCCTTTTCTGAGAAGCATTTTTAATCTTTCCTAGAAAACACCCTAAAAAGAGAAAGACTTTAGGATTCACATTTGTCACAAGCCAAGTGTTAATGTATTCAACACCTATGATTTCATAACTACATGCTTAGTCCTTAGAAATGGCCTGATTTTTGAGGTATTTTGTTTTGGAAACACAAGGTTGAGTTTTAATACAAAAAAAGAAAGAAAAAAAATGTAAAATAAATATGTTCCAGAGAAAATAAATGAATGGAGAAGATTGCAAAAGATGCAGACCTCTGGCCATGGGGCAGGAATAGATCAAGATTTCCATTTTAGACATGCTAAGGTTGAGATATCCCTTTGGGGGTTCAAAAAGATATGTTGATAATATAGTTGGATATTTAGGCTTGGAGTTAGTAAGTTATCACCATACGGTTATCTAAAGCCATGGGAAAAAAGTGAATGTAGAGAGAAAGAAGGGGTCTAAACATTGACCTCTGAGACACTCCTACATTCAGCAATTGGGGTAACTGCATTTACCAGGTAGGAATAGTTACAGGATTTACCAATAGTAACACCAAGAAGCAGTAGGAAGGGAGGTAGAGGTAGAAGGAGAAATAGGCAACTGTGGTGTTCTGATCATCAAATATAGAAGAATATTTAAAATGTTGGGATTGAAATGCTGGAATCGAACTATATTGTTTTTAATAAGTTTTGAAATTATTCTATGTTAGTTTTATGTCTATTTATTTTTCATCATAAAAATTGCAGGCAGTCTCAGATTCAAGTCATTTTCCTGCCTCAGCCTCCCTAGTAAAATGTTTTGCTTTGGTTTCATTGTTGTAGTTGTGGTTTTTGTTTTGTTTTTAAATTTATAGCATTTCCGTTGTATTCTTTCTGCATGTCTGTGCTAAATTTTCCCATTTGCTCATTCATGTTGTCCATCTTTTCCACCAGATGTCAAAATATTTAATCAATTATTTTAAAGCCTCTATCAGTTAATTCCAATATATTAGTCATCTATTGTTATGTTGCTTACATTTTGTAAATGAGCTGTTTTTTTCTTGAAATTTTTGTGCATATATCTCATAATTTTTATTGAACATCAGATATAATGTGTAGAATAGTAGGAATGCAGGAAGATAATATACCTAGAAATGATTGTGCCTCCTCTTTTTCTTAGCAGTTAGAATGTAGGGTTTAGCCAATCTAGTCAAGAGTTTATGTGGTTTTGGCTTTTTGTTGCTGTAATTATCTTCAATGTACTATGGCTTCAAGTTCCTCAAGTTGCTCAGGATAGCCAGGATATAGTCCCCTAGGTTTTTTTCAGAGTCCATTTTTTTCCCCATTCGTTTTTAGTCATTACTAAAGCCTGCACCACAGAGCGGAGTCTCTCTTCAGGTTCTTGTCACTTTCCCAGTGATGGAATACCACACCAGGGAATTGATGCTTGGCTCACGACAGGATTGGGAAGGTTCTTTGTTGTTCTGGTACAACCTCAATCTTAGGCAGGACCTATGTGTCTGGGCATCAGGAGTGATACATTTTTATAGTTTCCATACTTCCTCTTCATGGAAGCCAAACTCTCTCTTATATTTGGGACTGCCATGTTGTGTATGTGGGGTGGGAGGGTTAATTCTCCATCAGACTCTTTGCTTTTGTATATCTTACCAGCAGACACACGGACTGCCTTTTACTCCCTTGGACTTTCTTTTCAAGAGTATTTATACAGTGAATATCTTTATAAGATAAAGACAGTGCAGTGCCTTCCTCTGATGCCTCTCCTCTGCAAATTTGTTTGCTGTCCAGCATAATACAGAGATATTTTTCTTCTGGGGCAAAAATCAGGTAGACTTGTTCGTTGTCAATTATGAAAGATTGGAGGAGTCTACATTAGGGCTCTTCCTCTGTAATGCAGCTGACTGCATGTGAATGCATCATCTAACCCTCATCATGTCACCAGGGTGAAAAAAAATAACGACACTCTGACTACCACTATTGCAGTGAGTAGTAAACCGCCTTTTGTCTCTGACCCAGAAGCCTCATCATTCTGCCAGCATTGAGAGAACTGCATAAAGCTAATGGGCTGTTAGCTTGTTAAAGTAGGGGAAAATCTCAGACACTTCATGCTTCTTGAAAATCTTAGTTGGAAGTCCCCTGCCCTTCCACTAGTGGTATCAGGCCTCCGCTTGAAACCTGTATAGGGTCCTGGGTCTAAGGCTGTTTTGTATTTCTCCTCCCTAGGAATACAGGATTCAACCCTTTCCTCGTAGCAATGAACTGTTGCCTGCGTCATAAGAGTTAACTCTACTCCTCCAGAGTCTAAGTGAATTTTCTTCTTCTCCTTTCTCATAGACTTAACCCATTTGCTTTATTTTTTTTTTAAGTTTTCTGCAAAGTGGGCAGAGCCTTAACCCTCATATATGCTAACAACTTCTTTACCGGTGCTCCTGAGAGGGAATTATTCTGGTATCCTGCTCAGTTTTCAGTCTTTCTCCTAAGCAAATGGTAGAGACCCACGGATAAAATACTACAACTTTCCTTGTGTCTAGGGCCCTTAGCAATCCCAAATAAACACATGAACCAATTCTCCTTGGCATTTAAGGATTCATTAAATTTTTTGCTCATTCATTTTGTACCAACTTCTACAGTGGTCATCTTTTTTACATTTTCACTAAGCAATTTGTGACACAGTTTGCGTGTCCTGCCTCTCTTTGGATGTGTTGATTCACCTTTGAAATGTGATTTACTTGTTTGCCTTTAGGAATTAGCTTTTTAATGAGTTTAAGACAAGTTATAGTCTTGTAGATAATGCCCATGGTCTGAAGGTTTGTCTTGCCAAAATTCATATGTTGAAACCTAATCTCGAATGTGATAGTATTGTAAGAATGGACTTTTGGCAGATGATTGGGTCTTGAGGGCTCTGCCTTCATTAATGAGATTAACTCTCTTATAAAAAAGGCCTCAGAGAGCTAACTAGCCCTTTACACCTTATCTTTTCCACTGTATGAGGACACAGCAATAAATCACTATTCTGTAACCCAAAACTGGGTCCTCACCAGAAACTTACCTTGCTGACACCTTGATCTTGGATTTCCAGCCTTCCCTGCTGTGAAAAATACATTTCTGCTGTTTATAAGCCACCCAGTTTTGTGTATTTTGTTATAGCAGCCTGAACAGACTAAGACAATAATCTAGCCTTTTCTCCTTGTTAGC